TTGTAGCACTACTGCATTCTATATTGAATAGGTCATTGGTACTCAACTAAGTGGAACTAATTCTCCATGGCAAAGCAGACAAATATGGAATAGTATTCACAAGAAGCTCATGCTATTTACTGCAGAATACCAGATTAAACATATTACGAGTTAATTGGAATATTAAAGAAATTATATAACATGATGCTTAAATTTCTTAGTGGACCTAGGTAATGTAGAATATTATCCAAATTCATGAAATTTGTGGGTTTACAATATTGCACGTTGTGTAAACCCTCTGTGAAATATTTACAAGTGGTGCCTATACAGAATCCGAATAGGTTTTTGAAATTAAACCATTTATTTTTTGAGGAAAACTAATTATTATGGTTATTCTTTATAATTTGGAGTAGTTGTAAATGTAATGTAATGGGAAAGTGTCTTTCTAAACTTTCTAATCCCTCTTCTTCTCCCATCTGTATATTTTTTTGTTCTGGAAAATTAAGAAAGGTAAAATAAGCTATTTTCAGTACTTTAGATTAAAATTCCTCCCACATTGCCTGCAAATAATATAGTCTTTCATTTTTGCCTATACTTTGCTTGTATTTGGTGTGCGTGCACACCAAAAAAGTGAATCAACTTTGCTGCATGTTTCTAGTCCTAAAATAAATGTTTTCTCCTGTTTTAAAGATGTTTCTCCTCACCCCCCCTTAGAAATAATTAGCTATTGTTGTTCTATATGCATGTGATTACTCTAGAGTCACCCAATGTAATATGAAACCATCTATTTAGATAGTGTAGGATATGTAAATATATAACTTAGAATAAGTAGAGGTTAGTATTTTTTTTCCTAAAGAAGTAGGAAATGAAAGAGTAATTATTAACCATCTCCTTTTCACTTTCCTGAAAACATCAATTATGGTTACACATCTTAGAAACAAGCTCACCAATAGAACAGAAATAACCCTTCATTATGCTTCAAAATTTAATCACAATTTAACTGCTGGGATGTATGTATAAGTGTCATTTGAAACATTAATTTTGAGGCAAGTCTGCCTGCTTTGGGATGATAGTGCTGGGCTTTTAGCAGTTGTCTTGGTCTCCATAAGAATGTTTTATGATTAAGAGTTATTGTAAATTTAACACAACAGAAAAATATCCTTCTGAACTCCTGCGTACCCTTCCCCCACAAACACACTGTGCTATCTGTTAACTAGAAAATTACATTTCAGTGGCTGCTAGAGGAAGAGAATTTTGAATAGTATCAATACTGATTATAGTTAATGTGGAAAGTAATACAGGCAGCTGCACTGGAGACTAAGACAAACCCTAAAGGTCTTGAAAGAATTATTATCGAGTTGGAAATCAATGAGGGGGTGAGGCAGGGGTGGGGGTGGGGAGCAATCATTCTTTCTTCCTCTTACTGTTTCCATACCATTACTTTTAAAGGTGATATTACCTCTGGTTTTAATATCACAGGAAGATATTTTTGGAACATTTGGGTTATTGTTTGGGGAATGCTTTTGCAAGTGATCAAGAGTGCTAATTTTGTATAGATTTAATTCTAGAAAATATTTAAATCATTTTGTTAAAAGAATCCTCTAAAATTTTCTTTTAAAGAGATGAAAAGTATATTTTGTAAATGTTGGAGCATACTATAAGAAAAGTGAAATTTTTATCTGACTATAAGTACCATTTTATGTAGGAAAAGGAATAAAATATTTTTGACACAATATTTTAACAAGTGTGGATGGAATATGTTTTGTGAAAATAAGTCTTAATTCTTATTATTCTTAATTCTTATTATCAGCTTCTCAAATGGTCACTTTGATATTTGTTTTGGTATGCATTTGATACATTGCAAGCATTGAGTATTTTGTGGGTTTATTGTGGACTTGAGAACTTAATTAGTTTAACTTTTTACTGTGGGAAAATTGTGTATTCTTTCTGAGAAAGATTAAGCTCCACTTCTGAATGAAATTTCTCTTTCTAAACATAGACCTGTCACACTCCATTTCTCAAGTATAAGAAGTTTATAAGGGTGACGGGTGAGGCTCAGTGGTAGGACATTTTCCTAGTATATATAAGGCTACAGATTTGATTCCCAGCATCACAAAAGGAAAAAAAAGATTATTGTCAAAAATTGTATAGCATGTATAAAATATTATTTTCAAATATGTGTACACTGTAGAATGGTGAAATCAAGGTACTTCAGATGAGTATCACCTCATATATTACTTTTTTGTGTGAGAACACTTAACATTTACTCTCTTTGCACTACTCACTATAGTCATCAAGTAGAATGGATCACTTAATCATATTCTAATTGAAATTGTATATCCTTTGATCATTAACCCTACCACTACACCATTCTAAGCCTCTACTAACTTTTATTCCCTACTCTCCACTAGTTTTTTAGATTGCTTTAATGAGTGAAATCATAGAGTATTTGTCTTTCTCTGTTGGGCTTCTGTCCTTTAACAAATACTGTCCTCCAGGATTAATAGCATCTAGAGGTCTTGTGTTCTTCTTTCCATCAAAAAGAAACATTGTTACAAATGACATATTTCCATCTTTTTTAAGGCTGAAGACTAATAAGTATATATGCGCATTTTAATCTACTTTTCCTTTAATGGAAGGTCAGGTCATTTCCGTAACTTGGTTGTCATGTATATGCTTTATTACACATGGGAATACAGATTCTTTAATGTATGATACTGTATCATGTGTAGCTCTGTTTAATTTTTTGAGGAACTTTTGTACTGTCTCCTCCTCCTCCTCCTCCTCCTCTCCCCCCCCCCCCTCCTCCACTGAGGAGTGAACTCAAGGCCTTAGGCTCTTTTTTGTTGTTGTTTTTAAGTCACAGCAGGTACTGTACCACTTTGAGCCACAACTACAGTTCTGGCTTTTTACTGGTTAATTGGAGAATGAAAGTCCCACATATTTGTCTGCCTGGGCTAGCTTTGAACTTTGACCTTCAAGTCTTAACCTCCTGAGTAGCTAGGATTATAGGTGTGATCCACAGGCTCATGGCTAGTCTTTCCTCTTATGTCACAATAATTCATACATTTTATACCATGGACTTACATTGAATTATACTCATTTTATAATTCTGTTATGTTTCTCTTCTTTTCTTGGGAGGTGGGTCCTATTTCAGCTGCCAGGGCTCCCTGTGGTCCACAGATGGATGGATGACTGAATGAATGGATTGATGGAAATAAAGAGCAGCAGATGTGGTGACACATGTTCATAACCCAGACGTTCCAGTGGGAGAATCTATGTAAAAAAATAATAATAAAGGCAATGAGCTGGGGATGTGGCTCAAGTGTGAAGTGCTTGTCTAGCAAGTGCAGGTTTCTGGTTTCAGTCCTACTACTGATAGAATATGTACACACATCCATACCACCCCATTCAGAAATAGTCATTAATGAATTTACATGCATTATTTAGAGTTTTTCTGTAATATATAGATTTTTTTTACAAATACACATTCTGTTTTGTTTTTCCCCTTTTGTATTTACCAATACAATACTGCATAATATTTCTATTAGGTTATAAAAAGCCCCAAATTCAAGCACCCCCAAAATCTTTAGTGTTGAATATTGTTGTTCAACCACCATAGGCAACAAATTTTCTAAAACCAGAAACACTTCTGGTTCCACACATTTTGGATAAAGGATGTTCACCTGGTATAAACATTTTGTGTATCTTCAATGTTGAAATGGCTTCCGGGCTAAACTACAATTTATGTCTCCACTTGTTTTGTTGATTGCGCAGGTAACAGCATTTTCAGTTTGGAGAGCTATACTGTTATGATATTTGTGTGGCTTCATCCTTCTGTTTACCCATAATTTTTAAAGTATAAATTATCTGGAATCAAATTGGTGGGCAAATGGAGTTTTATATTCCTCCTCTCTACTCCACTTGAGTGTAGAGTGTTCTAGAAACTGTTGTGTCAGGTCACTTGGCAGTAGGTTCAGGTGCAGGGTGGCTCTGCATTAAGCCGCTTTCTTCCTCATTGCTTCAACCTCCAACCAAGGAGCCCAAGGCTCTCCAAGTTCCATTATTACCTTGGTGATTTCAGAGACTGGAATTGCTAAACCTCCACTCCTGGAAAGAAAATCAGGATACATTTGTAATAGTTCATTGTATTTGGTTGAGTAGAAGCCACTGATACTGTCTCTGAGACTTCAGAAAGAAAACCATGGATGTTTACTTAAAATGACTTCATTTCTCAGTCATATAGCCCTCTCTGATTGACACAAAAAAGAAGACTCTTGAGGAGCATGTTAGGATTACATTGAGTAGTTTTACAGCTGAGGATATTCTGGGAAAAGTGTAATTTATGTCTACTGTACTAAATAGACACGCATTTATCAGTGGTATTTTTGACTTATGAAGTTCAGATGAGAAAAATATGTATGAATAGTTACATATTTACTTTGCATGTGTCTAGTTTACAAATAAGTGGATAACATAGAGGCAAGTTCTTTTTCAGTACTCTCTGAACACAAAATAATTGCATTGTTCATTTTGTTATTTTAAATAAATGGTAATTCATTTTAACAACATTGAAACAGCCATATGTCATATAATTCACCCACTTAAATGTAGTTATATGACTTTTAGTCTGCCCAGAAAGCAGACGGTAATCATACAGCTCTGGAACATGTCCCCCAAACAAAACCCCTCCACAGTTATCAGTTACTCCTTGTTCCTTCCCCTCTCTCCTCTCCTGAGCCAACTACTAATCTACTGTGTACCTCTGTGAACCTCAGTTATTGTTAAGTGGCACCATATAACACTGTTACTTTGTGACTCACTTCTGTTGGAATATGTGTTGATACTTCATTACTTTTTACGGCCAAATATCATTCTGCTGTGGAAATAACATATTATGCTATATTTTCTTCATCAGTTCAGTAGTTGATGGGCATGTGGGTTTTTGTGGAATGATGAGCACCTTCATTACAAGTTTGTGTACAGATGCAGTCTCATTTTATACTTTTCCTTTTTTTCAGTGTCTTTCTAGAGAAGCAGGTGGACGCATGAGCATTCAGTTTCTTGGTACAGTGGTAAGTACTAAAGAGTGCTTTGTGTATCCTCTTATTTCATAAGAAAAAGAAGTGCTCTGCTAATTTTAATCGGTGTGTTTTTACCTGACTTCACTGTGGTTTTATATTGTTCTTATATTGAGGATCTTTCTGCAGGATGTTTGTTTCTTAATGTATTGAAGAAGTTTCCATGATAGAGTTTAAAATAATGAGGATGTTTTGTTAAAGAGAAAATACTTTCAAAATTTGTTTGTTGAGTATTTTAAGAACTTTTTTTCTATTGAAGATTTTCTCTATATTTTTTAAATAAAATAGGAACATTTGTTTTTTTTAAACTGCGCTTGACTTTTTTTTCTAGTTTTCTCTATTAGGTCCTTTGAAAACTATCTTTGTAGTAGAAACCAATCATAGTTTTTTTTTTTTCTTTCCAATCATAGTTTTATATCTTAATTTTTGGCCTGAATACTATCAATTATTTTATATATTGCTGTGAGATACTTATAAGCATTTTAAAAATGGAGCTATATTTCACATTGTGATAGGTAGATGTGATATATTGTACTTACCTTTGAATCTTAGCTATTTGATATTTAGATTATTTCTAAATTACTTTTTGCTATTATGAGTGGTATTTTTGGAAATAACTTCATGTGTTTTATGCTTTTGTTTTTGATTCTTCAATTATTTTCAAACATGTATAAGATATTTTTATTTGTTAAGATTACAATTATTAGTAGCAATGGTCATCCTGTTTAAAATAATCTCTTTTAAAAGTCACTTCAATTTAAAAATTTTCTGTTTATTAGCCGTATATTTCAGTATTTCTCCCTCTATTCATTCATTGCTTGGGAGATCAGCCTATTCATGTCTTTGGGTATCGTTCACATTCACATGGGGGCATTTCTGAGAGCTTTGTCAGTTTATTGAGAATATCAGTATATGTACAGAGTATGTGTAGTCAATGTGCATAATAAGCATATACATTGCATATAAGTAGGCGGGCACTTAATATAACTTAATCTTTAAGTATTAAACCTATGACTTATGGTTATTCTTGCTTTTCTGATAATAAAGTGGAATAGGAATAAATGAAGTGAATAATGGAAATGAAATGAGTGTATTAGCCAGTATTCCCCAATAAAAGTGAACCCAACAGAATGTGTTGGGAGTTTGTGTGTATCTATGTATATGTAAAGAAAGAGAGAGAGATCTGTTTGAAATTGTTGAGGCTTGGCAAATCTGAAATCTTCAGGGAACGTCTATAGGCTGATAACTTAGGAAAGCATTGCAGTTTAAGTCCAAAGACTGAATTCCTCGTTCCCGCCTGCTGGTCTGTTGTTTCCCATCGAGAGTTACCACCGATTGGATGAGGTCCACCTAACGTATGTAGAATAATCTTACTCTAAGTCCACTGATTCACATCTTAATTTCATTTTTTAAGAAACAAACTACCTTTACTGAAATACCTAAGATAATGTTTGCCTTACTATCTGGATATTATGACCTCTCTAAATTGAACTTAACAATCATAAAAGTGTATATCCTATCCCCTACAGGTATTTCAGTTACTTAGCAAGAACTGTGTTCTTCCACAAATAGAATTCCACATCTTTCCATGTAGTAGTAAATCTGAGACAGAAAGAGAGAAAGGGATAGAAAAAGACGCGGGGGGGGGGGGCGGGAGAGAGAGAGGGAGAGGCTGACAACAAGGCAGTGCTCACATTCTGCTTTCTTCTTCTGTAAGGAAGGTTCTCATGCCATCGTGACCTCATCTGAGCCAGGTCAGAGGCCTGCTGCGTCTACCATCCCACCTCCATATCTGAATGTGAGGAGCAAAGGACACGAACATTCACTCCATTGCATACACTTAGGAAGAGAATTTTTCCAGAATATTTGTGTTTATTTCCTATACTTAGAAGGTTTTATTTTTGTATTTTGTTTGCAGATTTTGGTGAAGCCATAAATCCCGTTCATCAGATTGCATAAGCTCACAAAGAAATGGAAGTGTTAGTATCTTGCTGAATCAGAATTCCTTTCTATGCTAAACAATAGGATAGATGTGGGGAGGGGAGTCTATTTTTTTTGTTGTTGTTGTTGGTTGTGGGGCTTGAACTCTAGGCCCGGACACTGTCTCTCAGCTCTTCAGCTTGAGGCAAGCGCTCTACCATTTGAGCCATAGCACCACTTTCAGTTTTCTGGTGGTTTATTGGAGCTAAGAGTCTCATGGACTTTCCTGCCCAGGGCTGGCTTTGAATCGTGATCCTCAGATCTTGGCCTCCTGAGTAGCTAGGATTATAGGCATGAGCCATCAGTGCCTGGCAATGGGGGGGGGTCTTTTGTATGTGTTCTTTTTTCATTTTTTAAGGGGGGTGTGGGCGAGGTGGGAGGTTGTACTGGTACTGAAGCTTGAACTTGGAGCCTCTTGTTCCCACTTAGATTTTTTCACTAACAGCCTTACTCTACCACTTGAGCTGCTTCTGGGATTTTTGCTGGTTATTTGGACTTTTGAGTTGGCTCCAACCAGAGATCCTCAGATCTCAGTCTCCTGAGTAGCTAGGATTGCAGGTGTGAGCCACCAGCGCTCATCTTATATTTGATTTTTAAAGGACTGCAATATAAAGGCAAGCATATTTCATGGGACTGATTATTTTTTTTTTGAAAAACAATGTCGATTGCTCTAAAGGGAAGTTAAGCTTAGACTCCACTGAACAGCCTCTTTATGTCTGTGTCTTGGCATTTACCCAAGAAAACTTGAGGAACTATCAGATTCTAAGTCTTTGAAGCTTAGCCAGAGATCCTAATGAAACTAAATGATGCTAAAGTTCTTGAAGTTAATTTAAATCTCAAACTGTACATTTTAAATTAAGTTTTATTGTTAATAAATATGCTTTATTTCTTATTAGCCTTGAAAGCCTGAGAGATAATATCATAGAATAAACATGTTTTACAAAGAATCACCATTAAGAATGCTATTAATATGACCCTTGATACACCAGGACAATTAGATTTCAAAGTAAGCATTTGCAAAGTAACAGCGATTAATGACAACCATCGAAAACAATTTTCAACTCCATCATTTTAACTCAGGAGGGTAAACTTAATATGATAATTCATCTAGTTGAATTGTATCAGCTTAGCAGGAAAGTATGTCAATATGTGACCCTTACCTAGCTTCGAAATGGATGCTGTGCTGATAGATTTACCGGTTCCATTAAAGAACTTGGGGGAACTTTGGAATTTCAGCAATTGTTCCCTTGGAGGCTGAAAACCCAACCTGATCTCATACTGGGACCATTCTGGTCTGCATATTTCCATAATTTGCCTTTGCTACTAATATGACAGCAAGACACAAATAACTGTTTCTAATAATATCAGATGGAGTTGTGGAGGACAGCATTTTAATGCCGTGAAAGACCTCCCCGTGGGGTTGTTATTGCTACCATAGAACAGCAGCTACCCAGTGGCAACTGCAGTCTCTTAATTGATTCGTTTAATTAGCAAGAGCTGAAGCTTGGGCTGTGTCATGTCATCTGATACTGCACAGCCTAAAATTTGCATCATTTTTATTTATAAATTTATAAACATCATCAAAAGTTCTACTTCTTCTGAAATTCATGTATGAGCATTAGAATTTAGTAGAGCAAACTCCCATTTGTTTGAAATCCAAGTAATTGGACAATGAAAAGGACTAGATTTGTTACCATTGTGTTTCTTGCCACCTTCTCTTTTAGTGTAGTAGATGATGTCATGTGTTTTTGTTCAGCTACCATCTTCAAAATGAAACTTTGAGAGAGCTTCATTAGCTAGTCACACCTTAAAATGATAGCAGTCGTCCAACATTTATATTCAGACTGTACTCTATCCCTTCCTTTGCCCCAGTGCAGGTCGGGAATGATGTGGTAGTGAACCACACTGATGCCCGTACCTGCCCACCTGTGCCGGCCTGCCTTTGCAGCCACCCTGGGTCCTGCAGGGACTTAGCGGCTTCTGCTACGCTAGGCTGCTCCCCACCTTCTTGGGATGGGAAGAGAGAGGAAGGTGTGAAGTGCAGAGCTTAGAAACAAAGCCTTTCTCCCACATGTCCTCCAGGCGCCACCCTTGCTCTCCTATTCCGGACCCTTGCCTACTACCCAACATCTCAGTGCAGATGGTGGTAGAGTGGAGGGCTGATGAAGCTTCCAGATGTTTAGACACATTCTCATAATCCTCAGCAACAGGTAAATCCATGGCATCACACCCTATGTTTCTCCTAATATACAAAATTGCATCCACATTATGGATAGAATAACATCTTATAAAATGGGCAATACATGTCAGCTTAACTTTGAAAATTAATCAAATGTGTAATATATATTCTGTATATCATGTATCCAGTCTAAGAATGAACTTTTGGAATATAACTTAGTTTAGTTTATGTTCTTTGAAAATGAATGTTCTATATAATATAAAAGCTTTATCAGTGCCCAATTTATGATGCACTATGAACAAAAAATTGAAAGAAATAATTGGCAGCCTCTTATATGCTAGGAAGTGAGCTAGGTGAAGATGACTTGGTTTTTGCACTTAAGTAGCATACTAGTACCCTGTGTGGTGGTGCATTCATTTAATCCCAACACTTGGGAGACTGAGAGAAGAGGACCATGATTTTGAGTCCAGCCTGGAAGTTACAGTGAAATCCTGTCCAACAGCAACAGAAAGGCATAGTAGCCATGGGGCTACAGACAAATGATAACTTGACTATCAGCTGATGTAGTTGCAGAGAGAATTATACATTTTGTGTTTTTCTCTAACTGTAGCAAAATGGGTGCAAAAGTTCAAGTCAAACAGCATAGCTTGGGCTGGGAAGGTGGCTCAGTGGTAGAGTGCTTGCCTTGCATGCCTGAGGCCCTGGGTTCAATTCCTCAGCACCACATAAGCAAAAAGAAAAAAAGCCAGAAGTGGCTCTGAGGCTCAAGTGGTAGAGCGCTAGCCTTGAGCTGAAGAGCTGAGGGACAGCGCCCAGGCCCAGAGTTCAGGCCTCA